CCTCCTCCTCCTCCTCCTCCTCCTCCTCCCCCTGTAGCCTGGAGTGATAGATAAGTTTGCCGGGGACACCAGAGCCATCATCAGTAAAGTGGCTCTAGAGGCCGAGAACAAGGGTCTGTTTGAGGAGGCGGTCAAACTGTACGAGCTGGCCAAGGTGAGCACGTCTTTCTCTGTGATCTCTGCATCTGTTCTCTACTTTCTTTATTTCTTACATTCATTTATTGTTATTTAATGATTAGGTTACACATTATAAATGCCTGCAGAATGGCTGCTGAAGGTTAATGTTTTTCCAGCCACTTAATAAACAACCACAGTTTTTTGGCAGGTGACATGCATAATTTACTAGCGTTTGACAGTTAAAGGGTGCTAATTGTGTTGGGTTTTTCAAACGGCTCACTGTTTCCTTCCTCTTGTCTCCGTGTAGAACCCAGATAAGGTATTGGAGTTGATGAACAGGCTGCTGAGTCCGGTCATTGCTCAGGTCAGCGCTCCTCAGTCCAACAAGGAGAGGCTAAAAAACACCGCAGTGGCTATAGCTGAGAGGTTAGCACACATACATACAATGCACTAGTTTAAATCTTAACTAATAGCATTATATAAAAACTGAAATATGTTGTTTCCTCTGCAGGTACCGCTCTCAGGGCGTATCAGGAGACAAGTCTGTGGATAGTACTTTCTACCTGCTGTTAGACCTGACAACGTTCTTCGATGAGTACCATGCAGGACACGTGGACAGAGCCTACGATGTGAGTGCAACCTAACACTTCCCCTAAAGTTAAATCTTGACATACTTTGTGACACCATGATTTATCTATTGGAGTGATGGACTCATTTCTCTCTCAGGTGATGGAGCGTTTAAAGCTTCTTCCTCTCAGTCAGGACAGTGTGGAGGAGCGAGTGGCTGCTTTCAGGAACTTCAGTGATGAGGTGAATTGAAGATCTCTGAACACTCAAAAGAGACTCTCCAGCCTTTTCACAATACACAGCATTCTCCTTTTACTCTTTCTAAAAATTTCTTATGTGTCCCTCAGGTGCGCCACAACCTGTCTGAGGTGCTGTTAGCCACCATGAACATCCTGTTCACGCAGCACAAACGCCTGAAGGGGGCGCCAGCGGGCACACCAGGGCGACCCCAGAGGAACGCAGAGGACAGAGACATGGTGAGGAGACAGATTCTGACAAACTGATACTGCTGAAGGACATTTATAGTAAATCAGCATGATAGAAACTGTATTTGCAAGGTCCTTACTCATATTGATACTTTGGAATAAAAAGACAATTGCAATATAACCTCTTACCATGACATAAACAGAAATATGTTCTTGCTAAGAATCATTTTAATGTTCTTATTTAAAAACTGTAACAAAAAATTGAGAATGTTAATTAAAAAATATAATTTTCCTTGCTATTTTTAAAGAAAATTACGGTATTTGCCACTGTTTTTTAGATTCAAACGTCAATCATATTGTTGGTGTTTTTTTACAAAACAGAAGAAGTACTGTAGTTTAACCCTGTATGTCTTTGTTCTTCTTCTTTTACCTCCTTCTGCTTCTCTTTCTCCATACAGCAACTGCGCAGCCAGGCCAGAGCCCTGATCACCTTTGCTGGTATGATCCCCTACAACATGGCCGGGGACACCAACGCAAGACTGGTGCAGATGGAATTACTGATGAACTGATACAACATCAACGCACACACTCACACACACACACACACACACACACACACACACACACACACACACACACACACACACACACACACACACACACACACACACACACACACACACACACACACACACACACACACACACACACACACACACACACACACACACACACACACACACACACACACACACACACACTCAGAGCTACAAATAGAAAGGTTTTTGCAGACAGTCACAATCACGCACCCTCACTTTTCCATTTACCGTTTTCTTTTGTATAAAATAATTTGATCATCGTTTGTTTTTTTAAAGATACATCCTTATATCACCCCTCTTTTTGTTCTTTATTCTTTTTTTTCCATTTTGTTGTTTAACATTTGTATGTTTGTTGATTTGGAATAAAAAAATTAAGTTTACTTTCAGTTGTCTTTTCATTTGAAACCACTAAATGTTCATTACTTTTCCTTTTTTTCTCATTTTGCCTCAGTTTTATAATTAATTTCCCTCAGTTATAAAAACCCCCCATTGTTTTCACTAAGTGTTTCATGTGCCAAACTGTCAGTCTTGCTTATCTGTAATCCATTCACCCTTCAAATTGGACAGTTACAATATAAGTGTTATAGTGACAACATTTGCATTAATAACATTGGGCTCAGTATAATGTACAGAGCAAACTCTATCATTGTCATCATCTATACATGGACTGGGGCAATGATTGAGGGTTTTCAGATATAGATGTTTTCTGATTAAAATTGAGCATGTCACCGTCTTCCTGGTCTTGAGAGTTGCAGGCTGTCCTTGTTTCCTCTGACTGCTCTCAGTATCTGTGACACTCCTGCCCCCCGGCTTCAGGTCTGTCTCTGTATCAGAGGGGTGACTGTGGGTAAAGGAAATGACATTTTTATCAAAACTGCAACACTTTTTCGATGGATAAATCATTAGGTTTCAGAATATTTGACAAAAAGAAAGTTGTAGTGTGCTGGTTTTTACGTTTTCTTTAAGAAAAGCTGCCTGTTTTATTATTATTGTTTTGATGGATTGTCCCTCCATTTTGGCGCTACATATTTTCCTGTTGAGGATATTGCAAATGTGTGTGAAAAATGCTATTCCTCTTTTCTTTTTTTTAAAGTTTGCTAGACTTAGGGGTCATGGTTAATTTGGCCTCAAATGTCATTTAGACATTAAACAGGTCCCTCGGTTAAAAACAGTCTCGCTTGAAGTTAGATTTCCAAGAAAAGGCAACTAAGCAACCTTACAGAGCACCATAGTAACTACCTAACACCCTTTGGAATCTAAACACCCAATAAATATCTAGCAACAGAAGACATTAAGCTATACATTTGGCTGGTGTTTGCAAGCCCCCAAGCACATGCAAATCTTCTGAAACAATCACCAGTCGTCCCTTCTGTTAAATGTGTGGCCCTCACTCTCTGTCCTTCAGTCTGGCCTGAGAGAACACAGATGGAGGCTCATTCTGTCTTGGCTGCTCCACATAACTGCACAGAGACGTGAGGTTCATCCACAGACCAAGCTGAGCCAAGCACTATGGCACCCGTGCTGTTGTACTGCTTTCTAATGCTGGGAGCAGAGACTCAGCACTGCCCCTGCAACACTTGATATTATGCCCCACAATCCAAAAATCCCCTGGCACATAAACAGCATCCTAGTTGCTGTCCTAAACTAAAGTGAAATGCTGATTATGTCGCTATTATTAGATGCTTTTACTGTCAGAATTTGTTGATCAACTGTGCTGCACACTCCTGAAAACGATGCCTCTTCCAATGTTTTTTGTCAGGGATGCAGTATTCTCTGGGAATCTATATTTATTATATAATCCAATAATGAAATTATAGCTGACAAATTATCTGTTGTTAATATACAACAACATTGCTTTTATCACTTTAAAAGCGAGGTATCTATACACTACCAGAGGGAGACAACACAAATGCATTTCCCAAAACAAAGCTATGTGAGATTATACTTTTAATAGTCTTATCGTAATGGTCACAATAAGCACGATTATCAGTTATTCAAAGAAAGAACTCGATAAATGCATCCCCACTTTTTGTACTGCCTGCCGTGTGTGTATGTGTGTTTTTTTCATCCAGCAGCAGAAGCCCTGCCTGCCTCTCAGGTGTGTGTGCTGCAGCTGGTGTTGTGAATCAGGCCGATGACAGACACCTCCTAAAACCCGGCTATTTCACAACACCAGGGTGGCACCGCACCACTGACGACGAGACGAAGAATCCCACATGATGCTGCTGAGGGGGCCAATACAAATCAAGTCTGAAGTATTAGTCCAGTACCAAATGCACACAGAACTAAGGGTGCATTTAAAACGAGTTTAACTGTGATGTTATTTATATTTTTAGGATGATTTACTCCTGATTATATGGTCATATCATCATTATTATTTCACTCATTCCCTCAGATATAATAACTATTATGTGTTCAATCAAGATACATACTTTCAGTTAGGAGACAAAACGAAGTTACATTCATTAAAACACTGACTTTTTTATAAACCTTCCTAAACTTGTTGAATCTGTTATGCTTTGTTAATAAATATTAACAATTTTCTCTGACGATTCTGTTGTGTTGCTGTTTGCCTGCAGTTGTGAGGCGCTTTAAGATGATCATTAAGAGCTTATTTCAATTTCAAAGACAAACTAGGCCGCAAAAGAAGTAGAAATGTACGATCAGTAAACTAAAGCTTACAAGATGTGTTGTGAGGTTTCAATGCAGTGATTTAACTGTTTGATATGCTAATGAAATCCACTGGCAGAGATGGGAGTCTTGAGGTGTACAGGATGAACACACACCCTGCTCAATGTTGTGGATAATGGGATGCTTCTGAACTAAGAATAGATTGTTTTTACAGGCAGCCATTTGTAACCGTTTCTTCATCCTTTGTGTAACTTATCCCATCTGAATAGTTGTAGACCATTTTATATTTGTTTACCATGAAGGATCTATCAGAGAATAAGGGTTTGGTGAAGCCAGCACTAATAGAAAAGAAACAGATACAACACACTGTATTATCTCAGGCCATATGATCTGCTGCAACCCTGCCTCATCCATCATGGTGCCTCCCTTGACAAAAAAAAGAATTCTGGCTTTGATCTGTCCTATCAAAGACAGATGGTCTGCACCCAAAAAGGAAAATGGCCTGCCTGATGATGTCTGCGAATATGGACTGTGGCCTCCGGGTGTGCCGAGTTGGCACTGTAGGAAATACAGTGACCCATTTATGGCTTTCCCTAAAGACACCCAGAGAGTCCCATGCTGTTTGACCTGCTGACCCTAAAAAAAAGGTTTTATTTATTTATTCAAACTCCCTTTTACTGTTTGTAGGATCTGGTTTAGTAAATGCTCTATCCAAAAATAAGTTATCTTAGAGATTCCCCAATACAGAAATTTAGTTTGAGATGTAGTGGACATGTAATTAGAGGTGGAAAGTAACTAAGTACATTCACCAAGGTACTGTACTTACAGTAAGTACAATTTTGAAATTCTTGTACTTTGCTCGACTATTTCCATTTTATGCTACTTTGTACTTCTAAGTCATTACAACTAGCTTCACCTCTACCAGCTTTGATAACGCTTTACCGCATCAATACATATAATCAAAACTTATATTATTCTGAAATGGAACATTTGCATAATAAGTACATTTTGATGCCAATACTTTTGTACTTTTACTTGAGGAACATTTTGAATCCAGGACTTTTATTTCTAACATTCTGGTATTTCTACTTTTACTCAAGTACAAGGTCTGAGTACTTCTCCCATCTTTGCAGGATTCATAATTCCTTTTTAATTGTAGTGCTATTTCACATACTGAAGTAGTGAGGGGGTAAACTTTCCAAAGCACTAAACCACTTTGGCCAGTAGTGACATTTACAGGAAAATATTAGCATTGTGTGTCTAAAACTAATGTTTGGTAAATGCACAGTGCAGAGGTCTGTGGGGGTTTGGAGATAATCTGTTTCAGACAGAGGTGGAAGACATAGGCTACTCAGATTATTTCCGTAAATAAAAGGATTAATACTACAGTGTAAAAATACCCAGTTACAAGTCCTGCAATCATAATTGTACTAAAGTAAAAACAATATTAACACTAAAAAATACTTGAAGTGCCAAAAGTAAATTGACTCGTTATGCAAAATGGCCATTTTATCAAAGATATGTGTGCATTTATGTGTTCAACAATTTAATGTTGCACTTGCTATAGGTGGGGCTAATTGGAATTACTTTATACACTTCAGGGTAGTTTAAACTTTAATATTATATTATAATGTGTGTTGATTTATATTTTGTATTAATAACCAAAATCTGCAAAGTAACTAGTAACTAAATATGTTATGTAAAAAGTAAAACATTTGCCAAAAAATGTAAAAAAAATAAAAAATAAAATAGCCTAATTTGAAAATACTCAAGCAATGTACAAGTAAGTAAATGTAACTGGTTTTAGATATTGCTGAAATACTTTATATTGACCAATGAATACAAACATAGCCTATAAATGGCAGAATCGCAGACCCAACATCGACAGGTGTTCTTAATGAGAGAGCAGCAGTTGTCGAGAACAACAGAGGAGCACTTCCCTTTGACATACAACATATATATATATATCGCATTTAAATATAAGATTCAAATATATATTTTTACCCAAAAACACAACAGAAATGATCCTCATCGGCTTGAAGGTGGGTGTGGATACAAATGTTGAGCTTTAATACTTCATGTAAGAAAACCAAGCTAAACGTGTTTGTAGCGTCAGGCTAAACTGATAATGTAGCCTAGCTAGACATACATAAATTAACAGTTACAGTGGAAATGTTTTTTCTTCAAACCAGCTGGGCGTGGTCCTCGTGCTACTCGTTGGGTGCACGCATCATCTTGTTCAGGGTAAGGGTGTCTACTTGTATAATACAAATATCAAAAGTTATGTTGCTTGTCGAAGTAGTTATATTTGTTAACTGTACAGGAATGTGCAGCGTGGAGCATTGCGCGGACCCCACCAGGTGTGTTCTGTCTGAAGGCCAAAGAAGCTGCAAATGTGCCATTGGATATTATGGCGACCAATGTGACAAAGGTAATTCACTCTGCCTACAATAATGTATTTTCTTTTACAGAAGGGGCTCTTACAGTTCCTAATTTAGCACCTTAAATATTTAGGAGGCCTATTACACTTAATGTTAAGGCAAACATCTTTAAAAAAACGAAAACGTTTTATTCATTAGCAAGGGTCCTTGTCCAGAAACATTGGATTCTACATTTCCCACAATAGCATAATGTTGCGTGACTCTGTCTGTCTGGTAATTGCCAACATTTCAAAATCCTTACCCCAATTTGCAACATTTCATTAGGCACCAAGTCCAAGAAATGACTTTGTTAAATGTTACTCTAATTATTTCAGGGTACTTTTTTTTAAAGGCAGGAAGATATTTTGCAACCGTTTTCACAGGCCACCTCCAATGCAGCCACCTGCCTTGCATACCTAATAACCTTACGTTTTACAGATTCACAAATACAAGTAATGTGTGGCAGGGACCACATAACAGTCAGAGCATTAGAGGATTTCTTCATGTACCACAACGTGCCACTGGAGTCCCTGCACTTGTCCAACGAATCTTGCCGTGCTCAGAGAGAAGTCATCCTTGGTGTGCCGTACTACATGTCCCGGATAACTAAAGACAAATATCTAGCCTGTGGAGGCAAGCCGCTGGAGGTACACCTCAAGCAGTATTTACGTTACATGCCTTACACTTTCTTTTCCTTGTAAAGTAGAAAAAGGATTTTAGTATTTCTCCCTCACAATGTTGCATTTGATGCTTTTTTTTCCCCTTCTTACAGAAAAACTTTACTCACATCTTCTATTCCCTGAGTCTACTGTCAGATCCTCAGGTTACTGGAAACATCATCAGAAATCCAGTCATTAAGATTGAATACAAATGCATCTATCCATACATCAGGAGGGTCAGCCTACCTTTCCCGGTCGTCCCCTTTTCCAGGTAAGGATGTTGAATAGAAATGCTTACAGGTTGCACCAGTCCACCAACAGTTTCAGTTAATGTAGGTACAAATATAAGGAAGGGAATTGTCTCTGTTCAAGTGCATGGTTCTGTGGTTTCTAATCACACGTACGTTTGAGATGTTTTCCAAAGCCATAGTGCCCCCTGATGGCCTCCTAACATTTTATTTTACTGTGCACTGCAATGGAAAAAAATAATATTATTTAATACATAGTGGAATTGCACTTGTTCACCAAACTCTCTTTTTAGTTTTCTTGCCCCTTATGTGTACATGGCAGTGATACAGTGATGCGTGTAGCTGAACTTGATGCCACAATAGAGCTGATGCTGTACACAGACCAGTCCTACTCTCAGGCCTACAGCAGTTCCCCCACCATCGAGCTCAGAGACAAGGTAGGGTTACAATTTTAAATCCAAGGCTTTAGATTGAGAGCTAGATTTAATTGACTGTATGCTTTAATGCCCTAACAACCCAATATGTTTTCTATATTCATAAACACAGCAAAATGTTAAACAAATTAAAAAGCCACAAATATCGGTAGTGTTAAATCATATTCAAACACAATTTTGAGAATTCATTTTGTTTCATGTCGGTGATGGCTCGGTAATAACCCTGCCTCTCCTTTTTAAAACGTGTTTTTAAACTTGTTTTTTAACCTGTTTATACATTTTGACTCTTGCAAATGGTTTTCTTTATCCTTTTTTTATTATGTACTGTAGCACTTTGAGGTTTGTTTCAAATGTAAAGTGCAATACAAATAAAATGTATTATTATTATTATTATTATGGCTTTAGTGTGTCTTTTTTAAATGACAATGTGTCCAGGTCTATGTGGAGGTGACTGTCACAGAGCCTGCAGATTTCTTCCTGCTCCGGATCAATGAGTGCTGGGCCACACAGTCCTCCCAGCCTAGAACTGCAGAGGGTCTGGTTCACACGCTGCTTATGAACGGGTCAGAGTAGCTCTCGAATATCAACAGTTTGTCTCCCTTTCATTTTTAAATATGAGCCCCACTCCACCCATTCCTTCTCCTTATTTCCATCTCTTTATTCAGGTGTGTGAATGACCAAACTGTTGTCTTTCTAAACGGGAGTACGGGACAGCCTGGCCGTATAGGAGAAAGTTCTACTGTTCGCTACAGCTTCGACATGTTTCGCTTCACATCCACACCTCACGACCTCTATCTGCACTGCACTGTCCAGCTGTGTGAACCAGACGACCATGTGTCCTGCACACCTGTGAGCTCACTCAATTTACTTACTTGGATCTGTTACCTGGTACCAAGAAGCCGAAACCCTTAGGCCTCATGTGTTACACCTCGAAGAAAATGAACATATTTTCCTATTTGGCTACCTGTTATTTCTTCATTTCGAGGTCTCTTTTGTTTCTTGTTTTTGTTTACAGAACTGTAAATCGATCGCTAAGAGAGAAGCGGTGAGAGCAGACCCCGCCCTAGGCCTCCTGTCGTATGGACCCATCCGGATTGAAATGCCAGACGGAGCTCAATCTAGTAATCAAACTATCTCTGCTCTCTCTGTAGACCTCATTACAAGATATACTTAACTGCAGTGGATACCACATTTATCTGTTTGCTGTTTGTTTCAGGCGTACTGATGACGGTGGTGCTTCCTGTAGCCGCTGTCTGGACGGTTGGCTTCTTCCTCATCATCCTCATCACCGTGGCCAAAGCAGGCAGAAGGAGGCTTGCACAAACTGAGGAGCACTGACAACAACAAAAACAATGCTGCTGTTGGCAGCTTGAATAAAACTTTCAAAAGAAACCATATCTAACTTTATTTATTTCCTGATAAGATTTCCAAAGCTAAAGTTGTGTTCAGTAGGGCGACTGACCTTTTACTTTCAACAGCAAATTAATATTGAATAACAATGGATGCAAAAAGGTCGAACTAGTTGAATTTCACTTTGAGAAATTCCGGAGGAGGAATGCTTCAGTGCTGAGGTATAATAATAATAATAATAATAATAATAATAATAATGTTGGTCAGGGTTGGTTAATATGTTCTACATGTTCAAATATAGATGTATGGTACAATCCTCATAACATTTCATTAGAAGTGTTTCACTTTAATGCATGCTATCGATTGTGTAATATACTCAACGCGAACCTAATTTACCTCCATGCATAATAGTATGTGCTTCCTGTCCCAAATGACTCCATCAGCAGCAGGTAGTTTCCCGTGAGGACAGCAGATGGCACGCTGAGTCAGGTCTGCTGTGCGAAGGGAGGAGGGCTCTCGTCTCTTAAAATCATTACACATCTTTTATCAGAAACCTAGCTGTTTGATGGCGGTCTCGAAAATATTGACAGAACGCGTTTCCGTTTAGAGTTAAAAGCCGTGTACGTCTACTTTAGAGCAAAACGGTGCAGGTGAAATTTGATATCCTGCCTCTGGAGTCCAGATTTTCTTTTTGTTTTCGTCGTGTGCAACATTTCGCAACAAGTTCAGAAACTCCTGAACTTCAAAAAATACTTGTCGTGTGGTAATCCCGTGTTTGCACTGTATTTGATGAGACTTGTTGCAGTACTTCTCATTGTGCTCCAGCTGCTGTTCTGATCAGCCATTGTGGACGAAGGAAAAGGGGGCAAGGTCTAGTTTAGTGCCCGCCGGCTACACTGTTAGCTGAGTGCATGAAAGGAGCTGCTGTATGAACACTTGGATGAGCCATGAGGCTGCTGGCCCAGGAAAAATCGCTCAGTATGCAACCAGGAATGGATTAGTATAATCTCGATTCGTGTTTTTCCGAGGTTCAGTCAATGAACTTCATTTTACATAGTTTGTAGCAATTTTTTTCTGCTGCTCAAAACCAAAAAATGAGCAGATAGTGGGGTTACTTGTTGCGGAGGTTTGTGATTTGATGTAAGAGGAGAAGAGAAGAAGTCCAGCACTTTGTCCTGCCGGAGGAAGTTGTTTGGCTGTTTTCTGTCACCACGTCTTCATCACCCCACAACAGCAAAAGGAAGATGGCACCCAAACAGCACTGGACTCAGAGCATTATCACTTTGTGGTCCTTACTCTGCCTGATCCCGAGCAGCCCGGCAGCAGATGTCCCGGAGGAAGAAGGCTTCAATGCTGAGGTATAACAACATCTGGATCTGGGGACAGACAATACTTTTCTAGATGGTTACGATATTCCCTTTTTGTAGTTTTATTGTAAAACTGAATTAGTTTAATTTACAATACTCATACAATTTATTTATAAGTGTCTGAGTAGATAATTTTCTCAGTTTATTGTATACTTGTTTGTGTTCATAAGCAGGTTATAAATGCATATCCTTATGTTTGTTTTTGTTAAACATCAAAGCATCAGGTGGGTTCTAGCACTGCAGGGGTGTCATTTGACCTTTTGACCTTTTTCCAAATCACAACACAGCACTTGAGGTACACACCTATGTATAAAATGGTATTGTCTTTTGCAGAATCATGTAAAGATCATATAATCTTGAATTACAAAAAGAACCCTTTTAGCATTTACTTGCACAATGTATAACCAGAATATGGACAATGAAACAACTTTTTTTTTAAACCAGTATGATTGTATTTGTAAGCCAATTGTAGGACATTTAAAGAGTTGATTTATGTATTTGTCAACTTATCTTAAGAAGCCTCCAGAATTAGGGTATACAAAGATCCTTTATGTTTGATTAAGTAATACAGGTATAATAAAATAAAAATATATTAGTATAGTTGATATCCACATGAATAGTTGATTTTCAAACTTGTAAAAAGAGTGTATGTTTAAGATTTAGAGACAAAGTATGAAATTGACCATGAGTTGGTGATGTCTTCTTGAGACAGTTTTAAACTGGAAACATATAACACACAGTAGCATAATAAACTAAGTGTACTAGAAAATATATACAAGATCCATGCAAAATATAACAGCAATGCAAGTACATAAATTAAGCAAAATAAGTGACATTAACATTATTATCACTGTTTGAACACCACTGTCTGATGGACTGAACATTTCCTATACATTTTCTTATATTTGTTTAAAAACTACATTGAAGCGTGTATGAAGTGTCTGTACCCTGATTATGTATATTGAATATAGGGGTTACCATTATTCAGATTTTCACAAGATAAGTTATTTATAAGTCATTCTGTTGAATGTAATTCTCATATGCAATATTTTTGAATTATATAACAATGTAAGAATATCACAATGTTGAATCCAGTCATATCCTACAGAGGTTTTACTTATCTTCTTTCATGTTCTTTAGGTGTGAATAAGCCCACGTTAAGATTAAATGGGTCAAGACTTGTCATGCTATGCAGAAATGGTCTTTTAAGGTTTTTCTCTGCCTGGGTGTGTTCATGCATGATGAGTTTTTGTGTTGCGAGTGTGTGTGTTTGCCCCCGGCCTAAGTTCATCCCATACATGCATGAAGGTATGAGTCCTATGATCCATCTGTATGAGGGGGCCTGTGGCGTTGTTTTTGAGCTCTCAAGTCTTTTTTAAAGGGCAGAACTCAAAACTTTACAGATGCCGCCCCAGGAGCCATGGTCCTGTTTGCCTGGCTACAAGTCTCTACACGCTCAATTTCACTGTCAGCAAACATGAAGCAAAAAGGGGAAATTCAGCATGTGTAAGCCTTTTACCATTATTTTAAGTAGACTCATGCAGAGTTTTGTGTTTAACTACAGCAGTGACATACAGTTTTATTATTGCCCCTTTTAGTTTTCCTGTTTCCACTTCTTCCTCTGTTCTCCTCCTCATCTTGGCTGTCAGTGTGGAGAAGGCGCAGGAATGTCGTAATGTTAATAGAAGCCATCTGGTTTCTATCTCTACTTTTCTTTTAACTCCTCAGATGCTCCCTCTAGTCATTAGACAGTGGATAAGCCTAAACAGTTGTAGCTGTCATACAAATGTATCGCACACACAAAAACAAACATGTGTTTAGGAACTTTTCCAAAGGAAGACTAAGTAAATCTGACTGTCTCCTCACAGGCATGGCTTCGTAAATTTGGCTATCTGTCTCAGGCGAGCGGTCAGATGTCCACCATGCAGTCGGCTCAGATTCTTTCCAAAGCCATCGGTGACATGCAGCGCTTCTATGGCCTGGAGGTGACCGGAGAGATGGACCCTGCTACTGTTGTGTAAGAAAGTATTTATTTTGGTTTTATTCTGCAGTTGTTTTTGTCTCCAAGACACACAACACCACTTTACGTTTGTGTGAGCAGTGACCACAAACTGAATCCAGAGATCTTGAGGGATTTTCTTAGATCCTTCATTTTTATGCCTTCTATGGCCTCGGGTCGGTCAACAAACCTCAAACCAAGAACCAAGCATCCTGAAGCAATTTGTTTCATAGCTCTGGCTTTTCCCCATCACATAATAACTTTGTCATATTAATTTGTCTGTATTACCAGGGGCGGAGAAACAATGCCAGTTTGTAATACGTTTTTATGCCCATATGGTTAGGATTATAGTTGAATTTAGCTTATATCACATCATGACTAATGAGGCTAGTCAGGCTATTGTGTTATATCCTCATATTCATCCGTGGATTTGATTCATTTTATTATACCTGTTCCCTGGAAGTTCTAGGAAAAATGACAAGGTCTTAGAGGAAAAGTTTTGTAAATACACCTTATTCCCAAGAGTAAGAGGAAAATATTGATAGCACTGTTATGTGAAGCTAAAAAAGCAGCAACAACCAATTAGCTTAGCTTAGTCCTGTTACAGGAAAAGGGGAAGCAGCTAGCCTAGCTCTCTGCAAAGTTAACAGAATCTGCAGATCAGCACATCATTATTTAACACATAATGTATTGTTGTTTAATCCCTTAAAGAACAGAAACCAAGTAAAAAAGAAAACATGTTTGTAGTTACCTATGGACAAAGCGAGGCTTGCTGTTTCCATCTTTTTCCAGTCTTTGTGCTAAACTAAGTCGGCTACTGGCAGTGGACTCATTTACAGTAATGCTTGACAAAAAAGTGATTAAGTGTGTTTCCCAAAATGTCAAACTATTCCTTTAACATGACAAATTCACTTTGTTTTCACATTTTAGTTTGTCAGAGATTAGTCCTGAAAAAGGGCTTAGATTAAGTGCTCCATGCTGGTTTAGAATAATCATTTCCAGCTTTGTGAAGAGTCTATCAAAAAGGATTAGAAATAAAACATTTCAAGAAATCACAAAAGCTACCGCAAACAGTATAAAGGTCAAGTTTATGGCCATGTCATTATGCTAGGTTAGCATGTTGGTGACAACAGTTTGTAATGTGTGTGTCTGTTTCTGTGTGCTTAGGGCGATGCGTCTGCCCCGCTGTGGCCTCCCAGACAGAAAGGCAGAGGAGATTGATGTTGGTGCTAGAAAGAAGCGCTACACTCTCACTGGAAAGCAGTGGGACAAAGACCACATCACCTACAGGTTTATAGCTTTATAAATGTAAATGTATTATAAATGTATTATATACGCTTTATAAATGTAATGTATTATTATTATTATTATTATTATTATTATAGCACTGACATGTCAAATAAATTCAACAACAAAGCAATAGCATAACATCTCTAATAGGCTTTTTCTTCTGGCTCTAGTTTATTAAAATATCACGCGTTGCTGGGGGAGGAGCAGACGTACAAAGCTATCCGCAGCGCCTTCGACGTGTGGAGACGGGTCACGCCGCTCACCTTTGAGGAGTTACCTGCTGAACACAACAACCACAGCATCAACGGCAGCAAGTCAGAGCTCTCTGACATCCTGTTGTTGTTTGCCTCTGGTTACCACGGTGATATGTCATTGTTTGATGGCGAGGGAGGGTCGTTGGCCCATGCCTACTATCCCGGACCAGGAATCGGTGGGGATGTACACTTTGATGAAGATGAGCCTTGGACATTGGACAATAAAAACCCAGAAGGTAAGTCAGTTGACTCTTTTTTTCTAGCGGGGATTGAACTTGTGACCTTTTGGCAACAGCATAATTTCTCTGTTTCTTCTGGTTAACTGGGCTGCAGCAGTAAAGGTTCACTGGGTACATGTCTATGAGAATTGGATGTGTCTACAAGCTTGCTGTAATGCCATACTAATAAAATGTAACCAGCCATTTAGCTTGTTAAAAATATTTATTAGCTTTCCTCTTCCTGTTTTGGTTGCCCAATAGTTGATGCACTTCCTTTATGGTATAAATTGAGCCTTCATTTTACCATGAGAATGCACCCCGGTAGCAGGCAGAGTTGCATAGTGAAATCAAGCCTATAGGGAACCAATATAAATGCGGATGGTGTCATTATTTTATATTACATGTGCAATTTATATTTACTTCATAATGATACGTTTTTAGCAAAAAATTGCCAATATGAATCAACTGTATCATATTAAGTTAATTCCTTTGTCATTTTACACAAATGTTCTTTTTTTTTGTATAAATATGTGAACAAATGTACAAACAATATGTGTGTCACTGCAGGTATTGACCTCTTCCTGGTTGCGGTCCATGAGCTCGGTCACGCTTTGGGTCTGGAGCACTCTGATAACCCCAGCGCCATAATGGCTCCTCTCTACCAGTGGACTCACACACATAACTTCTCCCTACACGAGGATGACATCAGAGGAATACAGTACATATATGGTAAGAGGCACGCACTGTCCAGATACACCTATTTATATCATTGGTTTTATTTATGGCTTCAACAATGCAGTATTTTAAAGGGGACCTATCATGCAAAATGCACTTTTGTACGTCTTTTATACATGAATATGTGTCCCCGGTGTTCCAGGGAACTCACCAAGTGTCAGAAAATACAACCCTCTCTCTTTTCCTCCATACCCAAGTCTCTAAAAACGGGGCTGCAACGGATTTGATACATGTGGATTCTGATTTGCACCTCTATGATGTCACAGAGGTGCACTCCCGGCCTGTAAATGGTCACTCTCCACCTATCAGCGGAATGAGAAGTTGCCCGTGGCACTGGCAACAGCATAGCACAGCAATGGCAACAGCATAGTAACATGACGCTTGTGCTCGCCCCCCTCCTTATGCAGGGGGGGGGGTGGGGTCAGCTCATGCAAAGACAGAGCTGGAGTGAGACAAAGTGAGGCATGGGGCTAAAATGCATGATCTGTTTGGTATTTTGACAAATAAAACTTATAAATATACCTTATATAGGTATGGCCCTACAATATATTATTCAAATATAGCATGATAAGTCCCCTTTAAGGCACCACCAGAGCAGAATTTGGATTTGAACTTGACTCAGTGAGCCCTTTAATATCAGAGTTTTCCATCAGCTAGTGCAAAGATACTTAACTGAACCATAACACAGCTTACATTGATTAAGATCTATTAATTGATTTACACAACTAGAAAGCCTTTTCTAACCTTACCACCGAGACCCGATTAGTATCATGGTTTAGCCTTAGCAGAAACACACAAAACAAACTGTGAACTCAAACTTTTTTGATGTTTTGACTTCATACTCTTCATGCTTTTTGGATCTAAAATCAGTAAGGGTTGAAGTGCAGAAAATCGGCTGTATCACATCTGCACACAGGAACACAAGAAGGCTTGTAAAGAAGCTCTGTGCAAACGGCCAACCACACACATAAATCACAAAAACCTCGCTCAATACAGCATATCTTGCGTGCCGTTATGATGTTGTCATGCATTCCCTTCTCAATGGATGGCATTGTTAATTGACAGATGACATCTTTGTATGTGTGCCTGTTGGCTAGAGAAAAGCCTCATGTGTGTTTTAGAGTGTCCTTTATGTATATATGTGTTGCTTTTTGTCTGCTGCGGCCATGTTTTAGGAGCTGTAATTACAGGCCGAAACACTAATTTGTCTCTTAAACTGAAGACATAAATCCATTGCAGACATTGTTTACTAACTTTTAGGCAAAAACTATTTTCATTACCATCTATTGTTCCAAAACGGTCGCCTCTCTTGTATCAGATACAAATACAGATAAAACATTTAAGTGTACTATTTGAATGTTCCTCCTATAGTTAAAGTTTGCCCAGGAAACTCCCAATCTTTCCATACCCACACAACTCTGGCTTATTGATACGCCTACTCAGGCCTGCTGCTGTAAATACTGTGAGGTAAATGTTTTGGCTAAAATTATACCGTAGTTCCCTAAATCAAACGGAGAAACGAAGCACTGAGCTAGAGAAAAGCTTTGATTGAATAGAGAATAACTCTTTCTTGGAAGAAATAAACATTTGCGTTCCTTTGAGAGATTTTTATTAAGAGGCTGATACCTTTTTAGCTACTCAACTATTTACTTATCACTTAAAGTGAAATATCTTATCAATAAAATGACTACAAAAGATTAAACGTATGTTATATATCCTGTTGATTTGTGTAATTATGTAACCAAAATGTTTCAAACTATTTTAAACATGGAGCTACCACTTTTTAATCAAGGTAACAGTATTTTTTATTTGGTCTCCTCTGGTGACATCTCACTCCCTTTCAAATGCTTTCAGCATAGTGGTTGTCATAAATTCACGGTTTTATCCACTTTAAAGCCACATTTTAACCATAGTCATTGGACATCTGAATCTGAATTTTTCAGAGAAAAAAGGTGGACAAAGTTTGGAGGCAGAACAGCGTTGGAAGAACAATACACACACATAACTAATATAAACCTGTTTTATTCAATGTTATTATTCATTATTTTGTTTCATAAAATCAAGTTTATTCACATTATGTATTTATTTATTTTTATTTTTACTTTTTAAGGCTGCTGACTTCATAAAAGTTGACAGATTTTAAAAGCCTGAATATGATATAAAAAAAGAATTAAATCCAGAAAAGCCCTACTTTACTTCCTGTAGACTACAATGCAGATTCAGATGCTGCATTATGTTACATTTCGCAGCACACTGATAGCAGAGTCACAGGCCAACATCAGCCCTCATATATCCCTCGCATATTTTGGTCCCAGTGTAACTCAATACGTCTATGGACCCATCAGCTGTCCGTACATATTACGTAACTGTATAACTGTATAGTGATGTGTATATCCAACACTTAGCAACCAGCGGGTTTGTTTTTTTCCAAAGAGCAGCAGTCAAGTGAGCTTATAGCCGCTACTCATGATGGTAAATTAGGCTTTCTTTCTTTGTGTGAGGGAGAGTTGAAGAGGACATTCAGCGGGAGAGAAGTGATTGATTTCTAATGAGGCATTTATTTCATTTCAGATTGACATTTTTCAGTTGAAATATGAGCGTGAAAAATAACTTGTTCTAAGCCCAAGCCTTCCATCTCTTCATCCTCAGGCCCCCCCCTCCCCACGGCTGCTCCACCCACCTCTCCTCCCCCCCATGACAACAATCCTGACGATGAC